GTGGATTTGCGATAAGGTGGATGCGGGTCGTTATAAAGTCGGTGATGGGCAGGACTGGGGCCGAGCCAAAAAAATTAGATTAGCGATGGAGCCACTCACCGCGGAGAAGGGCCACACAAAGGGCTCGTGGACAAAGACGGAAAACGAAAAAGGAAAGCAAAGAAAGGAGACAAGGCCCAAGGAAAAAACGAGGTTACTATTTTTTTTGCAGAAACCAAAAGAATTTAGGAATTAACGGAAGCACAAAAGGCCCGTCGTGGGAATTTCGGCACCGGCTGGGACAGCCTATTAGCAGCCATCCAAGGCGGCCACATGGCGCGAGATAACACTGGCTGATTGATTAGCTTTGTGCCATTGATAAGCGGGACGAACCTTTTACATGGCGATTTGGTTTTACGATTTAAATTAAAATCGTAGAAATCATTTAATGAAAATCCACGAAAATCCATGAACACCAAAACCTTTTCACTGGATTGGCTCGGCCTTCCGCCTCGGACTCAGCGGGGGATTCTGCCCAGCCAACGGTGGCCCCACGAAATAAGCTGCCGCATCAGCACCACGGTGCACCAGAGCACAGCACAATCAGGCCGTTTTTGTGATTTCCACAAGCGCAAGGCGAGCGATCCCTTCAACCTTCTTTTTAAAAATCCTCTTCTTTTAAAATTCTTTTAATTAAATTGTACCGCCCCTGTGGTTGTCCGGCTTTGCTAGCCAGTCAGCCGGATGACCCGAAAAAGACTTGCTTTCGCGCCAGCGCCGTTTGCCGTGTCGTCTCCACAGTGCCCCACCTCACTGTTGGGCCTTCTGCAAACGTCATGGCGGCTGCAAACGAGCTTAAGAAGCGAAAAGAAAGAATTTGTTTTGGCGGGTTTGGCTGAAATTCTAGGTCATCAATAAAGGAAGGTAGACCAGGAAGGCAGACCAATTTGTTCCTTTTTCTTCTCTGTTTTTCTGTTTCACCGCCACGGGTTTTGCCGAGGCCAAGCGGTACCGAGGGGCTGGTGCACCGCCGAAATTTCCACAAGTTGGGGTGCTTCAGGGCAACGGAATTGGCCGTGGAGACGTTTCTGGGGTAAGTTTGTGGGAGGATTTTCGGGAGCCACGGCCGTTTTGATCTGGAGGCTTGGTTTTTTTGTTTTGGGCTTTTCTGTGTTTTTTGGTGTGGGTCTTTTTGTATAGGGGCTATTGCAGTGGTTGCAATTACGGCTGCGTCTCACTGAGGCTCCACAGTGCAGCCGATAGCCCAAGGCGTGGGCGGTTGCATTACCGATTCGTCAATAAAGTCGTCAAATCAGTGGTCCAAGGAGGTATTGTCCATTGGGTTGTGTTTTTTTGGGGAGCCCTCTATTGGTTGATAAGTTGTACCGTCTACGCTTTTTCACATTTTTCAGCACTAGCCACACCTACTCTGCTTTGCCTATTCATAATTCTTTGACTCGTAATTTGTAAAATCTACGTTGTCTAAAATCACTTCACCACCCTCGTTGTTTTGATGGGGCTCGGGCGATGATGTAAGGGCTATTGTCCTCTGGAGGACCATTGTGGTCTACCGCCATTGTCGTCAAAACAGCTGTTGCGCTTACCGTTAGGGCCTTCAGGGGCTTTCGAAAATAAGCTCCTGAGCCTTTTGGGCCTGGCACGGGACCCCTTAATTCTTTTAGAGCTCTGTCGATTTTGTGTTTTTTCAAAGATTGGGAGCCTGGTGTTTTCCGTCTTGGCCATTGTCCAGGGGACCTCGTGAAGGACCAATGAGGCACTATGGAAAGCCTCCGCCGGAATTAGGAGGTATGATCATTTGGCCTTCGTCAGCCAAGCCCTAGGGTGTGAAAGTGCTCTGAAGGTGCCAGTGGACTACCAAAGCAGGAAGTGACAAAAGGGGGCCAGTCTGTGCCAGTCTGTGCCAGTCTGTGCCAGTCTGTGCCAGTTGTGATGTCATGTGGAGAGGATTAGGGATGTTTGTTTTGGGGGAGTTTTGTTTATTGGTACTGTGGCTCAGATGGTCGTAGATGATTCCATCTTGGAGTGTCTTCAGATTGTCGTGAACTGAAATGTAGCGGCTACTGTGAGGGCCAGAAATGATGTTGGTTGAGTAGATCAAGCCGTAATTAGCCCATGCTACATGTGTGTATATTTTTGTCTGTGCTTTTATGAATTCGAAGGTAGGTAATCAGACGGTTGATGAAATACACCTTTTTCCAGCTTTACCATATGATAAAGAGACGGGCCTTGGTCAAATAGCGGGCCTTGTATCTGGCGATGTGTTGAAAGAACTTCAAAAATTACTTATCAGCCCAAGCCAAATTAAAGCATGAAAGTATCACCACGGTCAAGATAACCAGATAAGTGTGATCCCACCTGCTTCTATCGTCCAACTCGCAAATGTGCCGATCAAAGAATATTTCAATCTTCTTTAAACTGAGCCCGGCAACTTATGCCGACAACTGCCGACGCTGTTTATTATCTCTGGCATCTCTTCATCACACTACTACCAGTAGAACTTACAACCCAGGGACTGAATCCCACCCAATCTTCACTCATTTCATTCTCCATTCTATTAGTATATACAAGAAATTCCCTACCACGAGCCGACAGACACACCGGGGATCTGGCCCCTTCTGGCTCTGTTTCTGAACTCGGTTCTGTTCAACTTGAAATCCGTGATAACAGACCTCGAGTTACCCGATGCAATACAACGTTCTCTCACCTGGGTTGGAGAAGTGTACTTGGGCATAGAAGCAAGCTGCAACTGGGCTTCCAAACGGGCTTTTGGCGGAAGAGTGGTGTTTCTGGCAATGTATCTGAGGGCGTTTCTGGTCACCTCGTATTCTGCAACCTGGGTTCTCTTGAAGGCATCCTTAATCACACGACCGTTGAGGTACACGTGCTTGGGGAGCTCAAACTTGACGGGGAATCTGAACACCATGGTTGACGCTAACTGGTGTGTGCAATTTTTCGTTGATGGTGTAGTGCTTCGCACCTGTACACCAGGGACTGGTAGTAGGAGGTTTCGTATTGTAAATCAACTGCTTTGTTGAACATTTTTGTAAATAATTGTTAGCATGGCTTTTTTTAAATTTCGAGAAGTGGGTACCGCTCCAGCTGATTTAAGATTGGGTTTATGGCGTCGAAGTGATGGTGAGTTGGGTTGATATTGTGCACCCAAGAAGCCGCCAAAAAGGCAGTGGCCTTTTGAAAGCTTGATAAATATTGATCATTCACGGGGAATCAGTTAATTTTCAATAATTGGGCAAGTCCCTAGTTTTAACTTCTTTCTCGTTTTTGAAGGGGACATTGAAGATTCATCAATATGAGCATCATATCCATCGACACCATACGAAACACCGAGAAGTATCGAGAAAGCCCTCTTTTAGGAAAATGTTCATTGCATTCCTCGTCATAAAATACAATTGCTACTTTAGTGCCATCCGTACATAGCTTTGATCAATTGGCAACTCTATCTATATGCCACTACCTTCCACAAGCCACTGATAATACCTTCACCTTAATGGAAATCAAAACCCATCAATGGAAGCAAAACCAATAATAACCAATTCTATCCAAATTTCATCTTCATCTTCTCTAACTAGCTAATCTATGCACCTCGCGATACCCCAGGCTGCTTACTTATCACTGCGCATATATAACCACAATGACCGCATTACACCACACTCTTCCACCCCTTCAAACCACAACTTAACCAATTGACCAAGGAAAACCCATAAAACGTCACAAAACATGCCCTCGAAAGTCATTCTTGAAAACCCACCCACCGGAAACGTCAACTTGACCTGGGATCAAGAAGACTCCACATTCAAGCTTACCGATAACGAACTTCCCCCTTTGGGCGATGGCGATGTTCGTGTCAAGGTACTTTACCTTTCCAATGACCCTGCTCAAAGAGGCTGGATTGCCGCTAACCAAAACCCGCTGAGATCGTACATGAAACCTGTGGAGAAAGGTGACACTGTATTGGCAAGAGGAATCGGCAAGATTTTGGAGTCGAAACTGGCCAAATACTCTGAGGGCGATTACGTCCTGGGGCTGTTCGGCTGGACGGATGAACTGGTGGTGAACGACCTGACATTGACTTTGAAACTTGATCCCAACGCTGGTCTTCCCTTGCCTACGTATCTTGCAACTTTGGGAAGCATTGGCTTGACCGCTTATTTCGGGTTGAAAGAGGTGGGAAAGCTCCAGAAAGGACAGACTGTTTTGATTTCAGCGGCAAGTGGCGCTACAGGCTCGACTGCCGTGCAATTGGCTAAACATCTCTTTGGTGCAAGTAAGGTTTATGGAATAGCAGGCAGTGAAGAAAAGTGTCGTTGGGTCGAGCTGCTTGGCGCCGACAAGTGCGTAAACTACAAGGACCCTTCGTGGAAGGAGGAGCTTGCTAAAGAATTTGAGACGGTGGATGTCTACTTTGACAACGTCGGAGGTGAGATTTTGAGCTGGGCCTTGACTAAAGTTACTCGTTTCGGACGTGTCATTGCTTGTGGTGCTATTTCAGGCTACAATGACCCTTCCCTTGCTACAGTCACCACGTGGAGAGAAATCACCTCGAACAGGTTGACCATCCAGGGTTTCATTGTGATCGACTTCAAAGACCAGTTCCAGGAGGCTATTGGCGTATTGATCAAGGCCATCAAGGAAGGGAAACTTAAGGCCACCGAGAGTGTTTCAGTGGTTGATTTGACGAATGAAGATGTTCCTTTGAAGAAAGTTCCTGAAACGTGGACTCGCTTGTTCACCGATAAGCCCCGTGGAAAGCTTTTGACTAAGATTGGCAACGAGTAAGTATATGATAATGACATGACACTATGACCAAAAAAGGACTCTTTCAACGGACATCTTCCAGTTTCTCTTTTCGGTGGAGAGCGCTATTGATAAAAACTATTTGCAGCAGGTTTATTCATCCACCAAAGACTCCAACAACACCTATGTTTTTCTTCATAATCCTCCTATTGGTTTCGTTCGTTCGGCTGTCTGATGTGTTTACGCAGATGCTGCTGATGGCACCTGAAGTGGCTACGTTTAGTGATGTTACCCTTCTGATGCTCTCCCAACACGGAATCGTCAAGGTCAAAGATGACAACTCCATGATCATATCCGAGTATTTGATGGAAATCATGTCTCTGGAAAACCTAGAAGAGAGTCTTCCTTACGACGCAGCACTCCTGAAGGACTCACCTGGTACTGCCAAATTTATTCAGACTTGTTTCCAAGACAGTATCATCAAAAAGGAAGAAACCACATGGGAACCTATCGAAGGGTGCATCGACAACACCCTTTCAGATACTACAACTACAATTAGTCGAACAGTCGAAGGGAAAGTTCTGAATAAGCTTGGTCCATCGCTCACTCTATCTGCTGTAGGATTGAGCTTGGGGTTCGATCCTAGAATCAGTTCGAGCCACTCTTTCGAACTGAAATTCAGCTGTGACGTAGACGCCAGGCAAAAAATGCAGGTTTTTCTGAAACATAACATAGTGACGATTCTGAATGTCAAGCAGAGACGCTTTTCGGTCGCTTCATTATGGAAAAGACCGTTCAAGAAGTTTGAATTGTGTGAGTGGGAGGAATTGGACGATGAGCACAGCACTTATTATACGAGCTCTTCCAGGGCCTGTGTGACAAATCCAAAGATTCTACAATGTTGAGTTGAAGATACTTCAAAGTGGTGTATCAGCGGTCACCTTGTATAGTCTGTTCTCACTTTTATTTGTACAAAGCTACTACCTCCATTTTCCACAACCAATGAGACTCGTGAAATCACCCTACTACGGTCCAATCACTCTGTTACAGAATGATCTCTACAGTGCTGAGGTCATTTTGTGGCCGTGGTCCCACATCACCAAGGATGTTGAGTTTTTGCAGCCACCCACTCTAGAATGTTGCATTTCGAGAAAATCCTCCAACAAGTACGCCGATTTTAGCTTGAAGCCACTTGAAAGAAAATGGGAAATCAAGCGGCAGGCCTCGAGTTGTTTTGTGACAACCTTGGCCAGGAGTTGGTCAATCAGAAGGAATTAGGTCTCCAGCTATATACCAATACAAAGTCATATTTGATGTACGCCGTTTTTGCAATTTTTCACTTCAGTACAAATTAAACGTTAGATTCATCATCAATGAGCCCCTCCAATTGGTCAGATTTGTTTTATTTGGTTATTTGGGAGTCCTGTGGTGACTTATGGTGCCGCTTCTTCTACAACTATAAGCTCGCAGCATTGAAAAGTAGAAATATCAGGAACCCCAGACGGCAGTCAAATATGCTCCAAACAGGCCCAAACTCCTCCACCTGTTTTTCTGCAATTTAAGAATGTAGTGGCTTTTTTCATCTTTTCCAGATCATGGAAACCCGTGATACTAGGTCAAGCTGAAGTTGCTCACTTACACAGTATATCAAACCTGCATTTCGTAAAGTCAGAATTCCTCTCGGTGGCCAAGCTGGCTAAGGCGCGAGACTGTAATGTGATTGTAATCTTGAGATCGGGTGTTCGACTCACCCCCGGGAGATTCTTTTTGCAATTTCCAGCAACCTTTATTTTTCCTCAAGCCTTCTTATCTCGTTTTGGCCGAGGATTATCTGCTAAGAAACTTCCAGGCAGTGGAAACTGTATGTGGTCGTGCGCGCACCGCCTTCTTCATACCTTCCATTGTTGGAGAAGTCATTACGATCCATCTCCAGCAAAACCACCAACCACACTTTTTTGAAAATCATGGAAGTCCCAATTAAGCAAGAAAGTCCCATCAGCGACATCGACAAGAAGAAGTCTCCAAACTTAACCGAGGAGCAGAAGAAAGTATGTCGTGCTAACCGGTTACCCCACAAAATGTAGCCACTTCGACGAATCACTACTAACAAAACAGGCCCACCACATTGCCTCCGAGCAAAAAAGACGAGAAAACATCCGTGCCGAGTTTGACCGCATCGTCCTGCTCACGCCGACTTTGACCGAGCAGGAAAACCGTTCGGAACTCAGCATCTTGACCAAGTCTGCTGATTACATCGACCAGTTGAAGGACGAAAACAAGCAGTTGTTGGAGTTGTGCCGCCTTAAAGGCATCCCTGTGCCCGATGAGCTAATATACAAGGGCCCTGGTGTCGCCCACGAGTAAGTGCTCGTTAAGAGGAAAACTGTGAGTTGCTGCTCGTGGCTCACATAGGATAGGATAATGTACGAATAGGGAATTGGAGTGTAGAGCTTTTGGTAATGGAGGGTGGTAATGGAGGGTGATTGGAGGGTTCCGGTGGAGTCAAGCCAATGGAGTTTGACCATTGGTGGTGTTGATGTGAGCAGGTAGCTTTAAGTGCAACACAGTCCACGAGTTCTTTCTTGTTTGAAGGAGGGAAGGTTTTGCTGGCTGTCTATTTCCACGTCGTTGTCAAGATTTAATACTTTTACTTCGTGCTTTTTGACAATGTGATCGACTTCCACTTCATTCTTAGTCATCAAGCAAGCAGCAGAAACGTCAAACTGTAGTTCAGAAGCCAACACATTCGTTATTTTAAACCAAGAAAAATTGAATAGGCCTTCCAGTTGCTCTCTCAATAAAGTCTGCTTTCGATAAGCAACATGCTACCTCGGTTCAATCGTAGACCTACTATAAAACCTCACACCTGCTCAAATTCCCATCCCATGAAAATCAACAAAATCAAAATCCCTAAATCCTAAAACAAAACTTCCCCTTCCCCTACTTTATCCCACCCTCCCCTGCGTTCTCGGAATTAGACTTTGCAGCCTTACATTGTACCTACCGCGAAGCTGAAAACTAATTATCAAGAGCTTCAACTAAACCAACATATTACGCCTCGGCGTCTGCACACATCGCTCGAGTTTTCCCTTCAAGTCTATCGTTCACTTTGACTATGGACGACCACGAAAGGGTGGCCAGCGGGCCCCAGTTCATGGATCTGAGAGATCTTCCGTTGGACATGATGATGATTCTTAAGAAGCTTGAGGAAGACTTCTTCGTCAACAAGACCATTGACCAATGGACCTACATCAACAGGAGAGAGGAGATCATGAAGCAGGTCAATAAGCTTCATCAGCAGCAGCAGAAGGCGGTTCCGTTGGATGCTGCGCTGCTAGAGAAGGTGTTGATGCCTCGAAAACGCCCTGAGGGAGAGGCTTTCTTCAGGCACTCCATGGCACGTATATTGAAGGAACGTGCTCTGCTTCAGAAACAGGACATTGCTTTCCAGGTGCTCGATTCCAAGGGTAAGGAGCTGCAGAGCATTCTGTGGGAGAAACTCTACTTGAAGGCTACCAAGGTGGCTGCAGATCTCAAACACAGACACCAGATGAAACCAAACGACACTGCGGTGTTGCTATATAAGGATGGAGAGGTTTGTGAGTTTGCAGTGGCGCTTTTCGGCTGCTTTATGGCTCGAGTAGCCGCCATTCCTATTCATCAGGACATTGCACTCCAGGAGATGTTCGATGTTATTTCCTTGACGTCCTCGCTGTTTGTGCTCATGTCCGAGTCGGTTCAAAAGGAGATCGAGAGGATTTCCACCACAAAACAAAAAGTGCTGTGGCCGCCAAAGGTGGTGCGTTTGAGAACCACAGACCTCGGTTCAGCCAAACGCTCAGATATAGAAAATGTGTTTGGCAAGTCGGCACGCAAAGACGAGCATTTGATCTCGCAGAACGACTTGGCCTATTTGGAGTTTTCCAGATCTCCTGTTGGTGAGCTTCGAGGTATCGAGTTGAGCCATAGCACCATTTTGCATCAGATGAACTGTTTAGACATGTCATTGCTGAGTCTACCGGACTCTGGTGGCTCTTTGAAACACTCGCTTAGCTCTCCCAGAAAAAGCAAAAGGGTTTTTTTGGCTACCGTCGATCTACGTATCTCCATTGGTCTTATCGTCGGTATTATGTTCACTATCTACTCCGGCAATATGCTTGTCTGGGCTCCTCCGAAAGTCATGGAGGTACAGGGACTTTACGCACATATCATCTCCAAAACACGGGCCAACTTGTTGCTTGCTGACTTCTTGGGGCTCAAGAGAGTTACCTACGATTATCAGCTGTCACCAAACACTACCCGTTACTACTCGAAGACACAGCGAGTGGACTTTTCCACCATCAAATGGGTACTCATTAATGCGCTTTCGGTCGATGGTGAGCTCATAGAGGTTCTTGCAGAACGTTATCTTAAACCGTTAGGTTGCCAGCAACCACGAAATGCCATTATCCCCATGCTCACGCTAAGTGAGTACGGTGGTATGGTAATCTCGATGCGGGACTGGATTGGAGGTGGTGAGAAATTGGGCTTGGGCTCGACATTCAAGGCCTCTGATGAGAACTCCTCGGTCATGATTGACAAGGAAGCACTCTCAAGAAACAAAGTCCAGATAATTGAAACTGATGTCGCTGAAATGGACGAACGAAGCAGTGACTGCTTGAGAATTGATTCTTTTGGATACCCCTTGCCAGACGCTACCTTGGCCGTCGTCAATCCAGAATCATCCACCGTTGTCCAGAAGGGCGAGTTGGGTGAAATCTGGGTTGACAGTCCCTGCTTGTCGGGAGGCTTTTATGGACTCAAGAAAGAATCGAGACAAATCTTCCACGCAAAGTGTCGTAATGCGGATGGTATCATGGAACCTGAGTTCCTAAGAACTGGTCTCTTGGGTTTCACTCACAACGGAAAAGTATACGTCTTGGGCCTCTATGAGGACAGAATCAGACAAAGAGTCAGCTGGATTGACCAAAAAATGCACAAGAGGCTTAAGCGTGATCTTTTGGTTGAGAATGGTACTCGCTACCATTACGTTTCTCATCTTCTTGCGACTTTAGCCAGCGAGGTTCGTGAAGTGTACGATTGTACCATCTTTGACGTCTTCATCGGGAATGAATACTTGCCTGTGGCAATTGTTGAAGCCGAAGTGATACGACGTGTGATCGATGAATCAGATGCAGCTTCGACAACTGGAGCGAAGAATAGAGACAAGATTGACTACACTGCTGCTCCACTCAATGAGCCTGTTTTGAATGTGATTGCTCAAAAATGCTTTGATACCCTTAACAAGCATCACTTTCTCAGGCTCTATTGTTTGGTGGTGGTCGATTGCGATACCCTTCCAAAGATCATGAGAAGTGGTGGTTTGGAAATCGCAAACATGTTGTGTAAGAAACGATTCTTCGAAGGGTCGTTGAGGGCAGAGTTTGTCAAGTTCTTTGTGAGACAATCAATCAGTATGATCCCATATGGTGAAGATGTGCTTGGTGGTATCTGGTCTCCTTACGCCTCTGAACTCAGAAGTGCTTCCCTTTCGAGATTCATGCCTCAACTTTCGACTATCGACTATAGGCAAAAATCGATCGATGATAGGACTGGTGCACCACTTACGGACTTCAAATCTATCATTGACATTTTGAAGTTCAGAGTCGCTCAATCAGGTGATAGTGTTGCATTTCAAAACATCGATCCAAGTGGAAAGAGTAGCCTGAAGCCTTTGACATGGAAGAAGTTTGAGTTAAGAGTTTATGCACTCTGCAACCACATCATGACTAAGACTACGCTCAAGAGCGGTGAATATGTTGTTTTGATGTACTCGCTTTCAGAGGACTTCATCGTCGCAGTGTATGCTTGTTTCTTACTTGGAATTGTTCCCGTTCCTATGCTTCCCTTTGACTCGAATAGAATCGGTGAGGACTTCCCTGCCTTCGTCGGTGTTGTGAAGGACTTTGACATCCATGAGGTATTTGTCAACGAAGATGTTGAAAAGTACATGAAGAATGGACCAGTGGCTGACGCTCTCAAAAGAATGAACCACAGAAGACCAAAAGCATTGAAAGTCAAGAGTACTTCCAAAATCACCAAGGTTTCAAATACGGCTTCTTTGAACTCCAAGATAGCCAAGTACCAATCTGAAGCTAGATTCCGTGATGAAGCCACCACAAGTCTTGTTTGGTTACACTTTACATCTGACCATTACAGAATGGGTGCTTGCTTGAGTCATAAAAACATTGTCAGCATTTGCAAGGTTTTTAAGGAAACTTGTAATTTGTCCTCGAAATCATCCATCGTTGGTTGTGTCCGTCATTCAAACGGTATTGGTTTCGTCCAGGCTTGTCTTCTCGGTGTCTTCTTAGGAACCACAACCTACCTCAGTTCTCCTGTCAATTTTGCTGAGAATCCTTTGGCCTTCTTTTTGTCGCTTTCAAAGTACAAGGTTAAGGATGTGTTTGTTACGGAACAGATGCTCAAATATGCCGTTACCAAGTTCACTCCCAAAGGTTTCAATTTGTCATACTTGAAAAACATGATGATAAGTACTGAAAATCGTGTGGAGATCGATTTGCTCAAGAAGATTGCTAGGGTATTCCAACCAACAAAGCTCAGTGCTGCTGCTGCATCAGCTGTCTACACTCACTGCTTCAACCCAATCATTTCTACAAGATGTTACATGACCGTGGCTCCTGTTGACCTTTATCTTGACCCTGTTGCATTGAGACAGGGCTACGTTTCCATTGTCAACCAGCTTGAGTTCCCCAATGCTCTTCGGATTCAAGATTCAGGAATGGTTCCAGTTTGCACAGAGATTGCAATTGTGAACCCAGAGACCTGTAAGGTTTGTAAGGAAGGTGAATTTGGAGAAATCTGGGTTTGTTCTGAGGCTAACGTTACATCCTTCACTAATGGGCCTAGAGGACCAGTGGATACTTTCAGTTCGCGTCAGTTCTTGGGCAAAATCACAGATGGCAATCCTGACATGACATACCTCAGAACAGGAGACCTTGGATTCCTTCACCAAATCTCCATCTCGAAGAACACAGTTGGAAATGCTGGGAAGAAAGAAGAAACCGCCACGTTCCAGCCACTCTTTGTGTTGGGAAAGATTTCTGATACGTTTGAGGTCATGGGTTTGCACCACTTCCCCATTGATATTGAATCCACTATCGAGTCATGCCATCCAGAAATTTACAACAATGGTTCTTGCGTTTTCAAGGCATCTGACTTCACCATTGCCATTTGCGAGGCAAGAAAGATGAAGAACCTTGCTGCGTTAGTCCCATTGATTGTCAATACCGTATTCAGCAAGCATCATATCATCATTGACATTGTTGCTTTCATCAAAAAGGGCGAGTTCCCTATTTCCAGACTAGCCACCAAGCAGAGAGCCAGAATAGTGGATGCTTGGGTGCAAGGCATCATTCCAATAAAGGTTCTGTACGGTATCAATTTCGGTGAAAACTCCATGATCAAGCTTATCAAGGAGATTGACGAAGTGGCCAGAGATGATCCAGTGACAGGTCTCAAAAACCCAGCTCAATCTTATTACGATAATGCGGATGACGATATATTTGGAGGTAACGGAACCATGCTTAATCTCAACACTGAGGGAGAAGTTGACAATGCCTCGCTTACGCAGGCCTCCATCAACCAGTCTATTCATCAGCCCTCAATTTACCAGAACTCACTCAACCACAGCTCGCTAAATCAGGCTTCCATGTACCAGGGTTCCATCAATCAGGGCTCCATCAATCACGGCTCAATTAACCAAGGATCCACGAGGCAATCCTTCAGCACTCAGGGCTCCATACGCTCTGCAGCTGAATCGGGATATTCCCACCACTAAACAGTCTCAAACACACAGTCATAACAGTAACGATCAATGCATTATTCTCGATTTCGCAGCCGTACTAGTCTTCTCTCGCATAGTCTCACCAAGGTCTGGTGCACGGGTGCGACCATCTCATATCATCAATTTCTCAGTTTCTAAAGCTAAAACTCCACTTTCTAGAGCCCATAGATTTACAAAGAGGACCTCAATGAAGCGCTCTGTGAGTCCTCAAACCATAACTGAGCCTGAAGGAGGCCCTGTCCCAAAAAAACGGAAGTTTTTGGGCCTCATTTCATCGCTAGCAAGTCGTTTATTTTCAAAGCAAGAAGCTCCTAGTCAAAAGGCACCTGGTTTCTTCGCTAACGACGGGCCTGCGCCAGATGATCTTCCAAATGAGTTCGTTTCTCAAAAACGAAGACTGTCGATTCTTGGTTCGCTCAAAAACGTCAACGATGCCGTTCCCCGAATGTCGACTTCAATCCCACATTACAAAGGGTACCAGGAGATTGCACAGTCTCTCCAGCGACAAAAGGACGAATTCAATGGTGCCACCGAACACGAAAGAAGACAGTCTCTTTTCCCACCGGCAGTTCCAGACTATGCCCTGAATGATCAAGAGGAATCCACCTTTCTCAAGGATCTTTCTCCAAACTTGAACAATGTACCTCGCCAAAGCATACTACCGACAATGGACCGTGATTTGGAGTACAACAACTCCGATGATTATGGCGAAGAGCCACAGAACCAGTTGGTTGCACAGGAGTTTGCGCCATTGTATGAAGATGACGAGGGAAATTTGGTGAGACCACCGGTGATCAACCTAGATCCAAGCGAGAGGTACCATCTATTACAGCTCAAACGCTCTGTTGAAATGTCTGAATACCTCCAGAGCAGACTCAAGTACATGGTTGATCCTGATGAAACCACCAGTGTGCCTATCGGTGAAACCAAGGTCAATTCCACTACACAAACTCATGGAGTGGATGAGTTTGATCGCAAGTTGAACTTTGACAAATTGCGTTCCAAATTGACTCTTCAGAGAAGACAGCGTCAGCAGAAGAACGGGAAGGGCTTTTTCTCAGGTGAGTTCTTCTATGAGCCAGCGCCTCCTAAAAAAGCTGACCCTGTTTCCAATGGTGTGAAGCTTGATGGCTATCTTGGTCAGGTGAACAAACCGAAGTTCCCAGAACAGAAAACCGAAAAGCCTGTCAAATCATTCCCAGACCAAGACTCTAACCCTCCGGTCAGTTTGCAAAAGAATCGTCGTACCGACCTAGGTGCTGTTCTCGGGAAGAAAGACGAACCACAATTGGACAAGGACTACCTAGAAAAAACAGAGTCTCTCATCAAGATGAAGGAACCAAGTGCCCCTCAAGCTACTAATAATTCTGTTGGTCCCAGCAGCGGCTTCAACTTCGAGATCAACAAGAACAGCCTTGGAAATATCCTTCAGACTCGTAAAGACGATGACGAGCGTGTGGAGAAAGCCAGCGCTGCTTCTGACACAAAGTCTGCTGAGGACGAGGGTAAAAGAGCATTATTTGGTTTCTCCTCCACTTCGAGTAAGGACCAGCCAAAGAAGAGATCCAGAGATGATGAGGAGGATTCCAAGCCTTCATTCCTGTTTGGAAACCAAACATCATCTGAAAAGGATAAGAAACCACTTTTCGAGTCCAGCAAACCCTTATCTGAAGAGAAGAAGGAGCTTCCAAAACCTGCATTTTCATTCGGCACGTCCGAAAAGCCCTCCGATAAGAAGGACAGCTCTACTGGTTTTTCTTTCGGCACTTCCGAAAAGCCTTCCGAAAAGAAGGACAGCTCTTCTGGTTTTTCATTTGGCAAACCCAGTTCGACGCCGCTTTTCGGTGGTTCATCCACCAAAGAAGGGGAAACAGCAGACGAGAAAGAGAAAAAGACCAGCGAAGCTCCTAAATTCTCTTTTGGCTCATCGAAACTCCCAGAAGCTGCTCCAAAATTTTCATTCGGCTCTTCTACAAATGACAAACCCTCTCCAGGTATTCCATTCGGTGGCTCGGCTACAGTCAAGGTTTCTGACGGTAATAAAGATACACCTAAGTTCCTGTTTGGTCTGAAACCAGAAAAAGAGGATGATGAGGCCGAGGAGGGGCCCAGAAAGAAGAGGGCTGCTCCTTTCTCATTTGATTCAAGCAAGAGTGAGGAAAAGTCCGAGCCCAAGAAGGATGAAAAGCCCCTCTTTAGTTTCGACAAGCCCAAGGATAGTGCACCTCCTCTCCTCAATTTTGGAGAAAGCTCCAAGAAGGAAGCAACTCCCCAGTTCAGCTTTGGTTCTCTGTCAGAGAAGAAGGAAAGTACCCCTCTGTTCAACTTTGGTGGGAGCGAAAAGAAGACAGATACTCCTCTCTTTGGCTCAGGCTCATCAACAGAGAAGAAAGACAGTACGCCGTCATTCAACTTTGGAGCATCTACTGAGAAGAAAGATGACTCGGCTCCCAAATTGGCTGCTCCAAGCTCAGGATCCACTCCCGCATTTAATTTTGGTGGATCCAGTGAGCTGAAGGACACTACGAAAGACGCTGAAAAGGAAGAGACGCCAAAGTTCTCGTTTGGAAGCTCTTCAACCAAGGACTCCACGCCCACCTTCTCCTTCGGAGCGAAGAAGGATGAAGAAGGTGAAAAGAAGGCGGATGCTCCAACACTTGGTAGCACGGCACCCAAATTTTCCTTTGAGAAGCCCAAATCTGAGGAGCCACAAGATTCTACCGAGGCCCCAAAGTTTTCGTTTGGTGCAGCGAAATCAGTGTCTCCATCCTTCACATTCGGCGGTTCAAAGCCCGCAGACACATCTTTTGGCTCGAAGACCAACGAAGTCAAGGAAACCACTCCAGTGTTCTCAGTCTCGTCAAAGGAGACCACGCCAAAACCCTTCCTGTTTGGCGAGCCAACAGCCAAGCCTGCCTTCAACTTTGGCAGCGCCCAAACCCCAGCATTTGGTGCGGACTCCAAGAGCACTTCTACATTTTCCTTTGGCAAGCCAGAGACTCCTCTGATCGGAGCTCAGGCTGGAACTGCTGCAGCACCCAAGCCAGCATTCACCTTTGGTCAGGCTGCCACTGCTGACCCTGCTCTGATCTTTGGAGCCAGCGGAGGCAATACACAAAGTTCTCAAGCTACGCCAGCCTTTGGTGGCCCTTCTTCAGGTCCCTCGAGTACGGCTTCGCCATTCAATTTTGGTGCTACACAGGCGCCTGCGTTTGGGGGTCCTTCCGGTGCATTTGGGGGTCCAAACCCCACTCCAGGTTTTAACTTTGGCGCAAACACTAATCTTGCCGCTCCCCAGCCTACACAGAGCCCATTCGGTGGACAAGCCAACACATCAAGTGTTTTTGGTTCTCGTGGATCTACGCCTGGAGCCCCAGGAAACAACACCTTTGGCCAACCTGGAGCTGGAATTACGAACCCTGCATCCGTCTTTGGCGCCAACCCTACACAGTCTTCAGGCGGATTCGGTATGGGTAGCAACGCTCCACCAAACCAATTCAACAGTGCTCCAGGAAGTCTCGGAGCAGGCAGTCGAGAGAACACACCTCCTGTTTTCGGAGCTGGTGCTCCCGGTGCTCCAGGCGCTCCCGGTGCTCCCGGTGCTCCTGGTGCATTTGGAGCTGGCCAGCTGTTTACACCTCCGCTTGCTATGAAGGGCCGCCAAATTGCTCGAATGAGACCTCGCAGGAGATAGAGAAATGGAAAGGGAATGTGGCGAAGGCTGAGGCGACACAGCCACAACGGCGCAATTTTTTCGAGAAGGCAAAATTTGCAACTTTTTCTTGTCACATTAGAAGTGCGTTTCATAAGACAAATGCACTGCTATGTTGGATGCATTGGCGCCGATCATAAGTGCGGTGGAACGGTTAATGTCAAACTGCGGTGATATGCCACACCAGCATAAGCGAATTCGCAACATGTGAGTCCGAGGTCATCGAGGTCTCGGATGGCAAAAATTTCGGAAACAAAAACAACCCGTGTGGAGTTTCTTTTGAAGCGGAGTTCGAAGGATTAGCGTCATTCACAAGCTCCTTTTCCTATTCAGTGCATTACTATTGTCCCGGACCAGGTCTTGTCCATTCTAAGCCGCGCTGGCAGCAATGCAAGAATAGCACCGCGGCTGGTTCATTCGAAATCAGCTGAGATCGGACTTGTGGCATGTGAAGCCAGGAGGGACAAAACAGAGGCAAAAATCGTCTTTTTTGATAAGATTTTTTTTGCAAAACCGACTCATCAGAGTTTTCCCCCGGATCCTGTCGATTCCTTTCCTGCGCCCCTGTCGTTAATTCCGACCGTTAAACGGTGTGTGTTTTTCCTGCGTGTAAGTGCGTTTAATTTTCGTCTGCCTATCGAGACATACAACCACTTTTGAGACCTGATACTACAACCACACTCCATGTACCCACCGGTCTACCCTTCGGAGATCCGGTATCGTCCCGGACGAATCCAAAGCTTGAATGCGACTCAGGAAATAGCCCTCAAACAGTGCTGGGCTACGCTATTGAAGCTGTGGGGCTACGACATCTCCTTGTCCAACGACGACATCTCCTTACCGGAGCTGTTTGTCGCCCTGTCCATCGTGGACGTAGCCGAAGCACCTACCAAATACCTGGCCAGCTTGAACTCCGATGGCGAATCCATAGTTTCCGGAGTATCGACCACTCTAACTCTTCTGACGACAGCAACGAATCTGAGTGGGAAGAAGAAGAAGAAGAAGTGGGGTCTCTTCCGCACGAAACCCCTGGCACCAAAGCAAGTGCTGTCCCAGCGAAAAATGGCATTAGATAACAGCTATTTGGAGAAGTATGCCTTCATCAGCAAGGCTTCTGATCACACCAGACACGTCTTTGGCCAGCATCACCAGCTAATGTATGACGAGAAGAAGGACCCTCTTGAGGAGGATGGCTGCGATGACGAGTCAACTCTAGAGAAGGAGTCACTTAGCTCACTCGAGACCTTCCATACGGCCCACTCGAGCCCTAATCTGCATCATCGCCCACATGTGCGCCAAAAGAAGAGTTTCTCGCTCAAATCGGTCAAATCAAGTCATTTTGTGCATCCAGCATTGAGCAAAGGCAAACCAAAGGTTGTTCATGCGGGCATTGTCCATATGCTCAAAAACGGCCTTTTGGATAACATGATTCTCCGCTTCTGCCGAGCTCGTAAGTTTAATTATGACGATGCAGTGCAGATGCTCGTCAAGTCTGTGATCTTCAAGCAGACTGAATACCCTGCTGACGCTTGGGTTCGTGAATCCGACGGACCTTCTTACATCAATGGCGAGAACCAAGGTTTCATCAAGAACCTCACCACCGGGAAGTCGTTTATCCGTGGTCATGACAAGCTTGGAAACCCACTTTTCGTGTTCCAGTCCAGAAAGCACTTTGCTCATGACTCTCCATTGCATGAGACCGAGAGGTTTGCCACAGTCATGATTGAGTGGTGTCGTCTCTTTTCCAGAGAAATCAATGACTCCGTTGATGCTTTCACGGTCATGTTTGACTTGACGGGCTTCTCCTTGAAGAATGCCGACAATGCGCCCATCAAGTTTTTGGCCCAAATGTTTGAGGCCCACTACCCCGAGACTCTCGGGTTCATCATTGTGCATAACGCCCCGTGGATCTTCTCTACGGTGTGGAACGTCATCAAGAATTGGCTAGATCCTGCAGTCGTGTCCAAGATTCATTTCACCAAGGGCTACGAAGAGTTGGTGAACCTTATAGACGCTGAGCATATACCGAAGTACCTTGGCGGAGATGACACCGATGAGGTGCCGTACATCCCGCCAACAGTGCATGACTTGAGACCCCCAAAGAGAAAGGACCTCAGATACAAGCGTCTCAGGCAGCAGAGAGATGAGGCATTCATGCGCTTCATTGACATCACCAAGAAGTGGTGTGAGAGCACCGATCCGGAGGTCAGCTCGCGCTACCTCAGAGATAAGATTTTGCTCAATTACCAGCTCTCCGACAACTATGTTGAGCTCGATCCATATATCCGAAACCCAGGCATGTACGACAGAAACGGGGCCCTCGTTGTGGGCAATTAGCCGTTTAATATAATGAGAAAGGAACCAAGTGTAGGCAACTAGTATTGAAGACGCTGACCATCAAGCAATAAGTCTCGACGCTAGGGCATTAAGTAGAACGTCACACTAGCCAATTTGGGACGTCGCCGTTTATCGATAAATCGACCCAAGAAGGCAACTTAAAAGTACCCTTCACAGAGTACGGCCACTACACCATTTATGAGCACTGCACGACTCGGCACATCGGTGCTCCATATTTCAACCAAGTGCATCCAATTCCTCAATAAACCCATCCCAATAAAAAAACCCAAATGTCCCGCCGATCTGGCCGCTCCAAGCCCCCAGCCGACGATCGCGCCAGAGCTTCCGACGCTGAAGAAAACGAAAACGAAATCGACGACGCCGACGAAATCACCCGCTGTGTATGCGGACATGATGAACTCACCTCCATAGATCCCCAAGTCCAGCTGCTCCTACAACAAGAGTACCGGATCAAGGTGGATCTGGGCCTTTTCATCCAGTGTGACAAGTGCCTGGTCTGGCAGCACGGTTACTGTGTTGGGCTTTTTGTAAACGAAGATGTGCCAGATAAGTACTGGTGTGAGCAGTGCAAGCCAGAACTCCACTTGGTGATTCTGGTGCCACAGAAACAGCCTGGCCGGACGCTTTACAAACCAGCCAATGAGAGCAGGACCCGATTGATGGAGGAGGAAAGCAGCCGAAACGAAAAGCGTGCTGCCACTAGGCTGCGAGGCAGAAGAAGCCCTTCAGAGAAAACACCCGAGGCATCCAGAGAAACAGATAGACAGTCACGCAAGGACAGGCGCCACGGCAACGATTTCGATGAACAGCTCCAGAAAGCCTTGCGTGAAAGCGCCAAGGCACTGGGTCGTAACGACAGGAAAAGACAAAGCGACCTGGAGCACACTGGAGGTGAAAAACGGTCTCATTCGGAAACTTCTGAAAACGAGGTTGACGAGAGCAATGCTGATGAGGAAAGCGAGGCTACACAGAAGGAGGATCGTGCCAGGCCGCAGAGACCAAAACCAAAGAGCAGACCAGCTTCAGCAAAGCCCAAGAACACAACGCCCAAGACAGAGAAGAACGCTGTCAACAAGGAAGAGCTTCTAAATCAGCTGCTGAAACCACGTTTTGTGAACGACAAGTGCACGATCTACGAGTTGAGGAAGCGCACGGGGGCCATTCTTGAATGGCTAGGGCGTACGCAAATGGAGTTGGAGGAGGAGAGAGACTTGAAAAAGAGTCAGTTGGCAGAGGCCAATTGTGAGGAGCCGTTCGTTTCGCATTTTGATGAGAACTTGAAGCTCATGGAGAACTTGACAGAGAAGATTCTCTCCTGGGAGCAGAAGTTCGGCAAGTATGCACCTTGATGCTGGGCGTGCTTGAATTTCCAATTAAAATCTATAAAGCCTATAAGATCTCACGAAGCTGGCTTCTCCGATCCTGTTGGCCCGTTGCCGCCGCTGACCCTCCAGCAGGCTCATTATAACCATTGACAATATCACTCATCTTATCAAGCCACTGGCTACTGTTTAATATTCCATCACCACCGATAATGTACTTGACGCGATTGTTAATCTTGCTGAGCTCGTGAACCAAACGGGCTTCCTCGTAGGTGGCGCCGCCCTTGAAGTAGATAATCACCTCTTGGGCTGCCTGTGCCGATACATCACCATATTGCTTATTCACCACATCTGGCACCATAGTAGCGAGCTCAACCTTGTCCTGCTGGTTTTGCTGCTGGTTCTGCTTATTTTGTGGCGTTGGGTTGGTGATTTGTGCCAACACGTCGTTGAGCCTGGGGATATATTGCATGAAGATGTTGTCCGTTTTGGGCATGCTGTGCTTGTCTTCGTCATTATTAGGGTTGAAAAGTTGTTGGATCTTGATACGGTTTTTGTTGAAGATCTGGCCGATGTTGCCGTTGTTAGTGTTGCTCTCCAGAGATGACATCTTCTTGATGCTGCCAAAGTACCTGCTGAACTGCTTTATCAATGTTGTCTGCGTGATAGTTGGTGGTGGACTCGTGGTTATTGGGTCGTTGAGCTTAGCCAACATGGCACCCAAATCACTTTTCTGGTTGGGGAATTTAGCCACATAAAGAAGGAGCAACTTGACCTTGTTCTCCGTGGAGACCGTGTGGTCCGCAATCAAGTCAATGAGTCTGGTTTTGATGTTTTGATGGTTTTCTAAACCGCATGCAATCGTCTGCTGTAATTCACCGACAGCCCACAAATTCTGGCCCGAAATCTGCTTGTCAATTTCCGAAATGATATTGAGATGCTTGAGAATGTTATTCGAGAGTTTTTTAAACTCGGGAAATCTTGTCAAGATCTTCTTGAATTCGGACAAGTCTTGCGTCTTGAGGTTTTCAATGGAAGACTGTTTAGTCTGCTTCTTGTACTCATCCACATACTTTTGAAATCTATCCGTGAGGTCACCGTAGTTCATGTACATTGTTTCCTGGAAGAACTTGTCTTGAGATTCCGAAAGCGTGAGCTGCTCCGATGATTCCTTGATGTCCACGACATTTCGGTTGATGCCAATAAGCTCATGGATCATAGATTGGTAGGTCCACGGAAGCACGAGCGGTGATATGGGGTCATTTTTTCTATCGAGGATAAGGAGCGTAGGTGGGACATCGCTAGTCCTGTTGAGGTCGTCAAACAAGTTGTTGTTCAGGTTCGAGTTGATATAGTACAAAATCTCGGACGCCAAGCGCTTTGAGTCTAGCGAGGATGTTTCGTATTTGATCATGGGGCATTTCTTGAGAGACAAGAGCAAGCTCACTAAACTTGTTGCCTCCTGGATCGTCAGTGTGTGTCTTGCCAGCTGGGATACATCAGGCACACTTATCGTAAACAAATTGTCATTAGCAATGGAGTAGTCCTGGTAAAGCTCGATCACCTGATTCACTACCTCTTGCTCGTCGGCTTCGGCAATTCTCTCTATGTCATTCTTGCTGATCGAGTTGTTGAAGAACAACTGGTAGTGGTTATAGTGGGGGTTTAAAAGCTCCTCGCACACTTTGCTGATCAGCTCTCGAGTAGGCTTGACGTAAACGACACAATTGAGATGCTTCATGGTACTCAAATTGCGTAAATTATCTAGCATCTCAATAAGCACAACATCTTGTTGGAGAAGTTGTGATTGAGTGTAGCTCATGGATATGATAGGCATTGTGTGCTGATCCACAAGGAGCACTTTGGCTCTTATGGCAGCTGACAATTGTGTGTTATTTTTAGCCACAAATAGCTTATCGAAATAGGTCTGATTGACTTTATCTAGACTGAGAGTCGTCATGGTGGTGGACTCTTTAGATATTAGGCGATCTCGGTTGCGACACCGATACTTGACAACATGGAGTCTATTCGCACCCGTGCCTCCACCCCAGACTACATCAAATGTTGGATTCGTGATTACGTCTATTTATTTTTTAAGTTAAAGATGGGCTTCCTCGTGAGGATAGTAGTACTTGCTCAATGGCAAGACTGGTTGTGGGGCACCGCCGCGTGGATGTGTCTCTTGGAAGCGATAGGTGTTACTCTCAAGCTTACCCTTTGGATATCCAGTAGGTGTAGGCTGCTTAGTTCTCTCTTCAATCTCCGAAACAAACTTCCTTCTTTCTTCTTCGGAGCCACAAATGGTGTTGGATACGGCTTGAAGGTCTGCGCCCTTCTCCTCAACTATCTTGTCGATCTCATCCGTTGCAATAGACAGCTCGGAGTCGTAGATGTAGTTATGGACAGCGGTGACGAAGTTCTTCTTGTCATCAAACACTGGAGTCTTTCTCAGCGTCAAACACACACTCAAACGAGCTGACTTGGTGCTTTGGTGAACGTCGAAGTAATCATTGAAGAAGTCGACGAGCTCCTGTTTCGTAACAGTCTCCAAAATCTTGACATCTTCGGTCTTCTGTTCAAAATCATAGTAACCGTTATTGATGGCATTCCAGTAGAGTGAGGTCTCCTCACCAAGGTTCTTCAACTTTGTCAACTTCATGTTCTTCAAAGACTGCTTGTACTTCGTAAACACCTCTTCCGTAAGTGCACCACCAAGCTTTTGCTTCTTAAAAGATTCCAAAAACTTTTCGACTCTGTACTGAAGATAATCACAAGGTCTTTCAGATTGGACGAGCACCCTGAGGCCAAAGTAGGATCTGGTCAGTCTGTATCCGGAGAACACGACATATCCAAGCTGCTCCTTGGTACGTAACTGGTTGAAGCAAGGTTCGTGAAGCATTGTCGCCAACAAGTCGGTGAGTACTCTCAAACGAGCATTATTCTTTTCAACTTTTCCGACTTGAACGAAGTACTCCAAACATGAGTTCACGTTAGATGGATCTTGCAAGGGTAATTCATACCTCACACTCTCTCCAACGTCCAAATGAACACTTTGGAATCTGACAATCTCATCAACCTGCGCTTTGGAATCGGCAATTTGCTCTCTGGCATTGAAAGCATCTTCGAGGTCTTGACTAACCTTTTTAGCAGTGGAGTACTCGAAATTACCGTGAATCAACCCCTGGACAAAGATACCTTTGCTCCATAACTTCTCCTTTGTGAAGTTCTGCAAATCGTTGAATGTGATCTTCTCGAGCACTTCGACCTTTTCGGTATCTGGGTATGTCTTTTCGTTCAAAAATTGCAAAAAGTGAGTGCCGATCTGGGCGTAAGGAATATCATATCCAGCATTCTTGAGATCTTGAGCGATCTTGTATTTGATGGATTCGAATCTGTCCAGCTTAGGCTCAAAGTTGACAAACTTGTTCAAGACTTCCACAAGGAAAGCAGGAAGCTTGTCGTTGTATCCACTAGCCTTGATTGAGAAGGAGTCCCTAAATTGCAGAAGGGAGAATTTCAACCCCACGAGATCAGCAAAGTAGTTCATCTCATTGAACTCATCCTCCATCAACTCACCCAAAAGCAATCCCAAAACGGAGGACTCGATATCGTCACCCAATGGTGGCGCGTGCACAACAAGACTGATGGATCCCTTGGGAATCCTGAATCTGTCATCTTGCTTATACCAGATTTCAAATTTGGGTGTGTCTGTGATCAACCAAGGATGAGGCAAGGCCTTCTCGACCTTTTCACCCTTGACGGTGAAATCTTCGGGAATAAACTTATTTGGAGCAGGAAGGTGCAAGTCGCTGTTAACGGAGACGCTCTTCAAAGCATTCATGAGGCCTTCAGAGATGTCTTCATACGAGTACTCAGTGCCATACCACTTTTCCTTGTTTGGTAGGTTTTCGAATGTCTGGGATGTCAAAGAGATTCTCAAGTTAGATGGGTTCAAATGGTTGCCGAACTTCTTGATTTCTTGGGGATCGAATTCTCTCAAGACGGTACAATTTAATAATCTCTCTGGGGGAATGTAGAAGTCTTCTTTGAACTTGAACAAAGAGCTGCTCAATTTTGAAACAGTGTTGGAAGTTCTCTCCTTCTGCTTGAATCTGAAGTCAATCTTGGACATGTCACTTAACTCCTTCCATAACCACTCTGGTGGTTCTTGGGTTTGGAGCATCTTCAAGTACTCGAAGAAGTGAACAACAATCTCTTCCCAGTTTTCCAATCCCAGTGGAGTCAAATCGAGCTCTGCAGAAAATACCGAACACCCGTCACATATTTTCATGCTGCCAGCAGAGAGCTCGTTAACCCAGTTTTTCTTTTGTAAGTAGTGCAAAATGGAACCCTTACTCTCATGGCCAATGAGGTGCGAGTAGTAGCTTCCAGGCCTCTTGTCCCAGTTATGTTCCTGGTCGTCGGGGATCAAAAATGTAAGATCTAGCTTGGTGGAGTCCATGATAGGCTTGGCCTTCAAGATCTTACCCATGTTGTCAGGCTTATAAATGAGCTGTCCGTTGTATGATGGTCTTGAAAGATTAGCATTAGGCACATCAGAAAACTTTGTGATGGCCCAGTAGGTAAGATCGTCGAGAGAGTCCTTGCCCAAGACGACCAAACTCATGATGTTGGAGGAGTAGTGGTCTTTGTAGAAGTCAAGCAACACGTCACGAACATTGACGCCTCTGCTAGCAGGCTCCTCGTGCAATGTGCCGAAGTTACCTGTGGAGAATCCGTTGTATGGATGCTTGGGGTTACTTGTCAGTTTGTCGAGCTGATACAAGCGCCACATGTCATTTTGTAAGTTTTTCTTGTTTTCAGAATCAACGGCCTTGATTTCTCTGTCCTTGCAACTTTTGCTGAACAAAGGGTCGATGAAGAACTGGGAGAACCTATCCAAGGCTCCTTCCAAGTAATCTGAACTAACTTCAAAGAAGTAGTTTGTGTGTTCGGACGCAGTATATGCGTTGGAGTGGCCTGAGTGTTTGGATAAGTAGCTCAGGTATTCATTTTCCTCGGGATACTTGCCGGTGCCCATGAACAAGAGGTGCTCACAGAAATGAGCCAAACCGGAAACGTTATATTCCTTATCGGCGAACGATCCCACGTGAACATCCAAGGAAGCAGCCGCTCTGTCTGAGGAGGGGTCGCTGATCAATAATACATGTAAGTCGTTGGAGTCTAGTTTGATAAATCTATAGCTGCGATCGTCCAAGAGCGGTTTCTCAATAGCCGGGTCGTCAGCGAGGATAGTGTAGGCGGATCTCATCGCAAATACCTTGTGTTTTTTGAAAAAGCTGAAACTCGGAAATCGAAAAGGTGCTCTGGTGTCTGTGGAAAACAACCTTCTGAGCATGAATTGTGGAGCGCTCAGTATTATATATGAGCGCAAATCTGGACACCAAAAAAGTACCTTGGAGGAATGCGACCGTATCTGGGTCATATACCGGCTGCAAAATGTGGCACACTGATAACAGCTTTACATGAGTTTTTTGATATTGTCCATGAAGCTGGACACGATGTACTCCACGGAATCGAGCTTTGTGAAGGCGCTGACTAGTACGGGATCCGCCGACGAAACTTCGAGTTTTCGGTCCACCATAACCACTTGGTTGTTGTATGTGATACACCTTGTAATGTAGTCCTGAGCTTCGTATTTTGGTCGAAGCGATAAGTGACCGAAGACATTGCTGAAAACACCCGCTTTCTCCTTTTCTTTCTTCGAATGCTCCATTTCGTCCCTCTTCCCCTCAGACATCCGGTCTCTGACCTTATCGACGTAGGATTTGCCTGTCTCTTGGTCGATTTCAGACCATGGCTCCTCCGTAACAATGAACAAGTCTTTAAGATCGAGACACACTTCAGCTTGGGAAATGTAGAGATCCAAGGCAATGTGAGGGCTAAGTTCAGGCTCAAAGTGGTTGGAGGGAGTAATGTGCAGAGGGAAGACAAGCTCGGGATCCGTAGGAAGCTGGAGAGCTTTCTTGGCAACCAGTAGCTCCAGTAGGAGGGTTTGGAACAATTCAAGAAGCAGCTGATGCTTTTCACGATGTGTTTCCTCACACTGCTCCACCAGGTTATCATCAAATATGGATTCTGCTTGCACTATGAGGGTTACCGACAGCTCAATTGCTTTTTTTGCGGCAGTGATTTGCGTGAGCTTGATAGGCTTAGCGAGCTTGATGTGGTGGACTGCCCTGTTGAAGTGTTTCTCTTTGATTGCAACACTCATCTTGGTTATGTAGGCTCCATCTCTCACGAGGATTCCCTTCACCGCCTCCAGCTTTGCTGAAGATACAGGAAGTGTCACCGCTGGGCCCTTTTCAATGTGCTTTGATGCGTCAGGACTCTGAGGAGAGTTATATAGTATGAGGTTGGAACATATCTGTAAAGCTTCAATTAGCTGGGGAAGTTCAGGCTGGACTACCAGCTCCACAAGCCAATGGAGCTCTCTATCGCGGCTTTGCTGTTTGAGTGTTCTGATCTGATCACGTTGCGTTGATGTCAAGGATAGCATTGTAGGTAGGGAGCTTATTGGTGATAATTAGAGTCCGCAGGTAAGTGCAGTAGTAGTGGAGGAAACGAAGGATGATGGTGGAAGATATGGAGTCTTCGAGTTTTTGAGTTAATTGTAGGGTTATTTAATTGAGGTTGTGGAAATGCGATTTCTTTGAGTGTATGTTTTAATTGTGTTTACCTGGAGACCAGGTTGATGTTTCTGAAATGAGTGTGCGATTGAGAAATGGTTGCAAAACTAGTAATAAAGAACAGGTTGAAAAAAATCAAAATACCAATCTTTTAAACAAACTTTGATTGGAACAAATAATTACATCACCAGATTATATAGTCGGTTTATTGATTTTCCGCCAACTGTCTTGTTCATCGTCTTTCGGTAGCTCTTCCGTATTACAGGTAATCAGTGATCGGGCAGACAAACCAGAACGTCAATCTCGAGACAGGAATATGCAATATTAAAAAATGATGTGAACGTAGAAATGATGGGAAAGGGGCAACATTTGAGCTCTCGGAATTACAACTTCTTGGTACTCGTGAAGACGACTACGTACCCACAGTAAGCCATCACATAGAGTATCATATGAAGCTGAATTAATGAAAGCTAATTCAATGAAATGGCAAAGAATGTTTTGAAAAGTTACTTCATAAACCCGCCAACGGCGTTCTTGATATTATGAACAACTTGCATAGCCTACGGAAGGAAGTCGAGAACGGCTTACAACAACCTACAAAGGGTGAACCACTTTTGTTTTGAAATCCTCACACTTTCAAGGGCTAGAACCGGTAACATTGTCGCTTTGACGTTGCCAGTCTTATTCCATGGCTTAAGCGCAAATCGAGTTACGCTAGTCTGATCCAACACAAGTCGATCATCAACCCAGCCTATTGATCGGCGAATGGCAGTAAACAATGATTTGTAAATAATTATCAGCGGTAGACGACAGCTAGAGTCTACGTAGCAAAGCAAAGGTCAAGAGAATTGCATCAGACTGGGTTTTCAAACATCATCAACAAATCGATAACAGACGAACTTTAATGTAAAGATTTCCAGCGACGCAGACTTAGAAATTTTAACTCACCAGTTTAGGTTCTCCGGCCTAGCCGAAACCTGCCACTTCGGCTATGCTACTTGTGTAACGACCTACGAGCAATGTGAAGGTAGTACTGTCTCTTGCTAACTGGAGTGTCTCTGGGAGCTTTAGCATACACTCTTTTGCCAGGAGGGAAACATGTAAAAAAGCCTATACAATGGCAAATTCGACTCTTCTTTCGTAAATTCTTGTCGTCTACAGCGCAATTGATGCAAAATATTCTTCACAATACCCAGATCTTCTTGCGGTTGTCAATGCACCATATAGCAGAACAACAGTGCTTCCTGTCTGCGAAAGGCAGGAATCGAAGCATCGGCAGGACTACAGAAATTTAGACCAGGTTGTCTGAACCTTACATATCACTTGCTTTTTCCAGTTTAAAACCAAAAACTGCCATCCCTGGTGTTGCAAACCATCAACACCTGGCAAGTACGATATCTACGCCCATCAACAGTATGTTTCATACCTGGGAATAGCGGCTTCCCAACCGAGCGGCGGAAAGGGAATAGCCAACACCCGTACACCACGAAGACCTTTGCCATTTGTCGACACACAGGGCAGCTCAAGAAGCCAAACTCGAACTGGAGGTTACCAGGTGGGGATAAATGCCAAATATTTGGTTCTTTTGCTTATGGAACCTCCCAGTATCGAGTAATCCACGGCTTTCCTGGCGATGGCAATGGAATGTCTGCAGGATGGGCCAATGGGCGGAAGGCATAGAACCCGTGCACCCGCATATTTTTACGGTTTATGCACGACAGCGAGAAAACTCCTATCCTCCCACCCTCGCAACATCAACACATTTTCCTCCTTCCCACAACTACTTTTATGTCCAGGACCTGAGTCTACTAAACAGTGTTAGGTAGGTGTGCAGGAATTTGTTTATATCCACACCCCAGAGTTTAGGTAAACCTTCGTCTACTACATTCCAAACTTGTTTTCAGCTTATAGTTGAAACTAAAAACTACTTCCCGTTCGTTGTTATTGTCCGTGCTAGGTGAAATTCGGCACACAACAAAAAAAGTCCCCCCTGAAAAACAAACATGTCTGGTCCCTCCACATCCAACGAGAGGTCCACTAACCATGGCCAGGGATTAAATCCCCATCAACAACAACATTTGCAGCAGCAGCACCTCCACCACGCGTCGCAGTTGGACCACACCACTGCTGCCGCTATTGCGTTGGGCCATGAAATTCCAAACCCCGTTATGGCCCACCTGGACGAGGAGGCCCGCTACTTGGGTCTTAACCCAGCTGCCGCTGCCCAGTTGCAACAACAACAGCAGTTGCAACAGCAGCAGATGCACCACCAACACCAATTGCATCACCACCACCACCCTCAGCTTCATCAGCAGCAGATGCACCATCCTTTGCAACAACAACACCACATGCCGCAGCACCATTTGCAGCAGCAACAGCTCCACCAGCAGCACCAGTTCCAGACGGCGCCCATGGAGTTTGAGAATGGTGGTTTCCTTGTGTCTAGACATGGTGAGGGTGACATCATCAAGACCTTCTCTTCCAAGCAAGAGCTTGTCAAGTACGTCAAGACGGTGTTGAACGAGGAGGAACAATGTAAGATTGTCATCAACTCGTCGAAGCCAAAGGCCGTGTACTTCCAGTGTGAGCGTTCTGGTTCTTTCAGAACCACTGTCAAGGACGCTACCAAGAGACAGAGAGTTGCCTACACCAAGAGATCCAAGTGTGGTTACAGATTGGTGGCCAACTTGTACCCACCTGACAAGGATAAGGCTAAGAAGATGAAGAAGGAAGCTGACTTTGATGGCTACCCAGATGACGACAAGAAGGACCTGGAGATGTGGATCTTGAGAATGATCCACCCAGCCCACAACCATCCTCCTGAGCCTAACTTCTCCTCCGGTGGTGGTGGCAAGAAGAAGAGAGCTAAGTACACTAGAACCTTGGTTGAGAAGCCATTGAACCGTGGCAACAACGGCACCGCTGCTGCAGTGGCTGCCGTGGCTGGTTACCCAGAGGCCCTGCTTCACGACCACCAGCTTCTTCAGCAACAGCACTACCTTCAGCAACAGCAGCAGCAGCAGCTTCACCACCAACAGCTTCAGCACCACGCTCACCATGGTCAGCACCACCACGACGATGGTAACCACCCATCTGTCCAGGATGTTGCTGTTATTGCTGCTATGGAGGCCGCTCCCGGCAACCATAGCTTGCTGAACCCACCTGTGGACCCTAACATTGACAGCGTCGACCCAAACGTGGATCCTAGTGTGCAGCAGCATGACCATGCCCATGGCCATGTACACTAAGCGGTTCGGGAAGGTCTCTCGCGCTATAGAACGAAGGGTGGAATCCAAAGTGGAGAACACGGGTAACTCAAAACAAATTCACCCTTTGATTCTGGCGTGCCCAACCACGAAACAGAAATACAAAAGACCTTATTGTACCATACAATGTTATGGCCTGTGGCAGCGGGCCTGTTGCGATATTCAAATTGCCATCATTTTTTTAACTAATTGGGTCTTGCCCCTGGGAGCTTAGATTCATGAAATCAAGATTTTATTTTTTTACTGTTCTTTGTTTGTATGACTATAATATACCACCAATCTCGAGATACGTAAATGTCCTGAATATCAGAATTGGCTGCAAAAGCACTGCAAAAGCATGTAGCCATTGCACAGGTTGACAGTTTCATACAGTCGATAAGGCAGGGAGGGCAGAGTAGCTCGAGCAATGTGGAGGACTTGCTTCGAGGATTCTTGGACAATAGCTCTTAATTCGATGAAGAAAATCGAGAGTTGACGAGTTCTTCAAAATAATTTTATTTAAGAACTGATTAGGATTTTAGTGTTTGCTTTTAACTCAAGAAGATAGGAGAACGAAACCGAAGGGAGCAAAGTCTGCAATAAGAGCGATGCATCTATAAAGAGGTGTGCTACATGAAAAAAGCTTTCGAAATGCAGAGATGACTGTAGCGTCTACTAATCTATTTTAAGTAAGCTAGCAATAATCGATGAGGATACTTGAATGAGGAATTTCATTTGACTAGTGATTAAGGCTACCAATTGATTGTCCTTTCAAGCAGTTGATTGAGCTATCTGGGAAAAGATGGGGGTACTTTGCGAGAACTGAAAATTCAGAGACAAGTATAGGTTGATGTTCCGAGGAAATAGTAGCTTCGTCGAGATTGAAGGAAAAGGTGACGCTTAGTGCACGTAAATCTGGACCATGGAACCTTCGTGCATACGTAATATGACCCTTAACAATTACGGAGACGTGAAACAGATAACAAAAAAACAAAAGAGAATCAATCGTTGCAGCCAATCGTCAAACCGAAGTTCGTCAAATCCCACCTACAACCGTTTTGCAGACGGTGCCATCTAACACTCATAACCATCTCAGGTCAACAAAATGAACTATAGAGAAAAATCACAAAAAGTCAATTCCTAAATTCCACCAAATCCCCCAATACAATCACTGAACACATGGTGCACCGAATGAGGCTGCTCATCCTTGCCCGCTCCATACATCATCGCAAAACGGTCCGCAGAAACGATGAAACCTTATTTCTCCTTACTGTACATAGAATTCAAATCACCCACCCAAGCCTTTCCAGCTCTCCTCAATATTCGCCGATTCTCGAAAATAATACTTCACAATGGCCCCAGGTGGGGACTGTGCTCGTCTATAGAGGTTCATCACCCGCGCATTCCTGGGGTAATTGATCAGAGATATCCCTAAGTCACGATCTACTCCAGCGAGGTAGAGCAATCGAAATTGAATTACAATCAGAAGAGCGGCATACTTCTCCTGTCATAAACAAATTCTACAACATTCAAGAACACAACGCCCTAGTCATCTCAGATGTCCCTGTCAGATGATCATCAGGAACCGAGGCAACCCAACCAGGAGGTGACTTCTGGAAACGAAAGCAATGGGGTACACCAAACACCGATAGTGTCTCCATCTACAGAAGAACCACCTTCAAAACCCCAGAGTACCTCGGATCCAAGTCCGAAAAATCTCACAGATGGGCCATCTAAGAAGAGTACTATCACGAGCCAGGAGCTTTCCAGTCCAGTCCAAGCAATAGAGGCTCTGTCCGTGAGGGCCAGCTCAACGCCCAAAACACCGAACCACAAACCGTCTCGTGACGAGATTGCTGTGGATGCAATTGTCCCTGCTACAAGCCCTAGAATAGTGAGGGAGAACTCCATCATCAGAGATGAGGACTTGCAGAATGAACTAACGCCATTGCTCGGGAGCGATTGTTCCGAATCGTATGTTGCATTAGAAGAAGGCTTACATCGCCAGCTACGGGCATCCAACACTCGCAGAGGTTTCTCTGGGTGGTTCTCACAAACCTTCTGCTCCACTCCATGGCTATCTTGGCTTATCTTACTCATTATTGCGGCATTGCTTATAGTGCTACTAGTTGCACGCAATCTACCGATGCTCTTGGACCAGGCTTTCATTTCTGAGCTTCACAGCGTCTCTGTACTGGATATCAGTGACTCAGGCTTGACTGTGCATGTGGTGGGCTCCACATTTGTTGACTACGAGAGCATACAAAGCCGCTTTTATGGCCTGGCGCTTAAAGTGATTGCTTTGCTTATTGGTGGAGTAACGGTTGTACCCACTGATGCATCCAGAGTATTCGTCAGTGGAGAAGGCATCAACAGAGTCCATGTGCTTGATGTCTACGCTCCCGAGGTTCTGGTTGATCTCATTGATCACCGTCTTACGGAGTATGATTTTATTACAGAGGCATATTTTGTCGATGATTCATTGACAGACCTTTTAGAGGATCTTTTGAAACACAATCGCTCGGAGCCTCTCCCCCTCTCGATCGAGGTCGATTTCACCACAGACATAAAGACCAAAGGGATTAAATTCAATGCGGGGCCAGTCAACATCCGTGAAGACGCTGTCATAAGTCCCGAAAGAATGGTATCACCTTTGAGTGTGGAGTCTTTAAATCTTGATTTGGAGAGAGAAGGCATAGCACTCAATGCGACACTTCTACTTGACATCCTACCGATCAAGCTAGATTTCAGGTCTGTTCAATGGGATGTTGCAATTGCTGACTGCGATGGGAAACCTTCATACTTGGGCTTATGGGAGTCGGACCCTTTTACGGTGAAGCCGAATTTGCTCACGGAGATTGACGTCAAGGGAAACATAGAACGTGTACCCGACAATCTTCTCAAAGTCTGCAAAAACGGCCAATCTGCTTTTAACCAATTTGTATCGAAGATCTCAAATGAAGGGTTGTTGGATATCTTTGTACTGGCTACGAAGACTTTGCAAAACGCTCAAAACTTGCCCAAATGGCTCTACAATATTCTCACGCTGGTCGATGTGAATATTGAAATTCCAGTCAGCACACGGAGTGGCCTTCCTCTAGGTGACTATCTATCTCGCCTTGACATCACTTCGATGGACTTGAGCATATTCCTGTCCCAACCAGGGAAGCTTAATGTCAACACAAGCTGTGATTTCAAAGCAGCAGTTTCTTTGCCGATTTCCCAAAGAGGCTTTGAAGCATCTCTTTCTAAGTGGACTTCATCCGTGGAAATATTAGATGGCAACGCCACAGTTGGAAGTGCGTCTACTGTCCTGAGCAGCGGCCTAGCTATCGCAGGGGATAGCGGCAATACTACATCTATACTTGGCAATCTCGCAAACTGGGAGTTCGTTTTCCATGATTTTAATTTCTTGGGCGACTTCGTCAACAGATGGTTGAACGAGCACAAGCCTGCTTTTCCAACAATCGATGCTGATATTAAGCAGGTCAAGCTTGATCTGCCACTCCTCAACACTACACTTGGGGATATTACGGTGAAGAATATAAATTTTGACCCAAAACATGCGGGAGTGTTGCAAAAGTCTGATGAAAAGTTCCTTGACTGGCTCTTGAAGAATATGAATATCAGTATGCTGACGGTAGCCTTGTTGAGCTCTGGGCATGATTGGGTGACATTTGCAATAGAGGCTGAGGTTTTCAACCCCATTCCATTGAGTTTGGATCTCAACAAGCAAGATTTAGTTTTTGCTATACTATTCGAGGATGCTCAGATTGGCAATGTTACCTTTCATGATCTAAGCTTCCCTCAAACCCACAAGCGCATCACTATTCCAGCTCTTTTGCAAGTGGACTGTGCTACGTTTGCTGAAAGAAATTCAGCAGAGAAATTTGTCAGTCTTGTGCTTTCCGGTGCATCGAATATTACTATCGGTGTCAAAGGTTTGCAAACTGCAGCAAGCACCGACTTAGATCAGGTAGTGAAGCATCTACATGTACCAGACATTACCTTGCCCCACTTGAAATTTCCGCATCCTGACGAGGACGAGACATCAGCCAAACAGGAGCTTGCGAACGGAAGCCCGTTCCTTATTGAAGCTACGATCCATATCCTTACATCTGAAGTCGAGCTTCTTGTGTTCAACCCCATCAATAACCAAGCAATCCTAGTTGACCTTTTGCTGTGTCAAGCGATATACGAGGAGCATGTACTAGCATATGCGGACAACGTTGGTGACATGATGATTCCGCCTGGTATTTTCCGTACCAAGCGAATTCCGTACAAGGTTGGTTCCGGAGTTGGAGGCGATATCTTGAGAAGAGCATTGAACGGAGAGTTGGAAGTGGTGGTGAAGTCAGACATGATGGTTCAAGTGGGTGAATTTAGCGGCCAGATCTTGTTGCAAATTCAGGGAGTCACAGCCAAAGTCAGGCTATAGTAGTAATGGCTGCGAAATTGGCTTCATTACGGTGACGGTTCCGATGAACTATTAGTTTGTGTGTTTTACTATCACTAAATTGAAGATATTTCATTATGGAAATTGCTTACGACTTCACGAGATGGAATCTGAACTCGAAATGACAGCTTTGTGTTGGTTAAAAACCTAGGTCTAGATGGCCAAAGGACTATGAGCAGAGTCTTATCTGCCAGAAAATTCCTTAACAAGAAGTGTTGCGAGTGTCAAAAACGGATCACATTGCCAAACACAGGCACGTGACATTGTTGTTTCCACGAGAACCGAGCTAAATATAGCCAGTCTGGAAGCGCTCTCGCCTTTAACTATGGGCCCAGGAGTGTACACAAGCATCCAAACATTAGCGATCACCACCTCACTCCAGTCTAGGTTTTCACCATCCAAAAAACATCGGTTTTTTTCTCAACCACGCTACACCACCCTTTTTGGTTCCTTTCGCTAGACTATAGAAAAAAGATGTACGGCTTGAAATTCACCGCTATCGCTGCTTTGGCCGCCTCCGTCTCTCAGGTGATGGCCACTCCTCCAGCCTGTTTGTTGGCTTGCGTTGCAGAGGTTGAGAAGAACTCCCAGTGCAACAACTTGGCTGACTTGGAGTGCATCTGTACCTCCATTGGAGAGAAGGTTGAACAATGTTTGGATGACAGATGCCCTAGCGGCGATGCCCAGACTGCCAAGGATGCTTTCGAGTCTACTTGTAAGGAGCACGGCCACGATGTTTCTGGAAACTCGGCCTCTTCTTCTTCCGTTTTCGAGTCCTCCTCCTCCGAGTCTTCTTCCGCATCGTCCTCCGCTTCTTCTTCCGCCGCTTCATCCTCCGCCGCTTCGTCTGTTGCTGCTTCCTCGTCTGCTGCTTCTTCCGCTGCTGCTTCTGGCGCCTCTTCAGTTGCTGCTTCTTCTTTCGTGAGCTCCGAGGCTCCAGCCAGCGCCGAGACCACCGCTGCTCCATCCACATTGGCCACCTCCACCCAGTCTGAGGCTGAGGAGGCCTCCTCTTCCGAGGCTCCATCCTCCGTTGCCGACGTCTCCTCTTTCGAGGCCGGTGCTCCAGTCAAGGCTGCTTCCTTCGCTGCTGCCATTGCCGGTGTTGTTGGTGCTTTGTTGTAAGTTTTTAGTTCGCTTTCCAGGGGAGCAGCGTGTGGCTTCCCTCAAAACAAGGATATAACTCAAGTTGATTTTGCATACCCTCGATTGTTTTCTGTAGGTGCTCAAATTGTAGATGCGTAACGACAATGGCATTGAACGATGTGATTGATTTCTTGGCTCAAAATAGATACTCAGTTGGTTGAATTGCAAAGGGGCTTTGTCGCCGTTGAAGACGTTTTATGCTTTTGGGGCTTTTGTTGTGGGGGTTTCCAGATCAATGCTAGGAAGAGGGGTTTTACGGTTGAAGGTATAATAATGAGGAAAAAAGAACAGTCTTTATTTACCTGGCTTCAAATTAGAACGGCCTACTTCTCGATGTCTCCGTCTCAATTGACACCACTGGTCAAAGTAATCTACAAATTGGGCTCTTCCATATCAAGCACTATCTTATAGCTTGAAATCCAGGCCATTGTCCTTTTTATCAACGGTATTAATAACTTTTGATGAGGACCTTGTCTCAAGAGAGAGATGAGCATCAAGTTTATTTACTTTGCAATTCAATTGATTTCGGTTGGTAAGACACCTATACCACCTGAAATCAGTTTTACCAAAAATCATTGGGGGACAGCTTTTCTGGCTAAGCTTTATACCTAGTACATTAGTTGCAGCCATCGAAAGTAGAACCAACGAAGCCCATTTCACACCACATTTCGCCACAACGGCTCATTGAGCCTTCATTAAAATAAAGTCCGTTTTCATTTGGCTTTTTAGAAAATAGAGCTTTACGTGATCTCGAGAAACCAGCATGAATCTACTACCTGTGCGGCATCATTGTCGGATCCAAAAAGCCAAGCACGAAAGTCATAAGGCACTGTATCACCAAAGTGAATATAGGCTTCAACGTAGAGCTCAGCGTCGAATAAAAGGTCATGTGGGTTAAGAGCCATCAAGAGTTTTTTTTGTTATTATGATTATATGTGTGTTTGCAGCAGGAGAGGCACTTTTGATAGAACCAACTACTCGCTACAAGAAAAATAAACTGGCTACAAGAAAAATAACTTGCAACAAACCCACAAATTGCAACAAGAAAAACAACTCGCCACGAGTTGAATGATTTTAACAAACCAAGTACTTCAACAAGAAAAAGATCTTGCCTCAAGAAAATCAACTCTCCACAACACAAACTACTTTCAACAATACAAAGAACTTTCTACAAGCAATACAACTTGCCACAAAAAAACAACTCTTACTTTTAAATAGTTTTATAGCTATTAGATTCCTTATTACCGACTAGAATGACTGACGCTTTCGCTGCTGTTGTAACGATATCGGTTGCTATTCTAACGTTGATTTCAGTCTACTTATTGCAGAAATATGTTTTCCCCCATATTATTGACTTTCTATTTAAATTGTTTTTCATTATTAAGAACAAATATAGGCGAATGCTGGACCTGGAAAGAGTTCCGAGTGATGAAGGAGACAGCACTAGTGACGAGTCTCAAACTAAAGCCAGACGTGAGAGTGACGATCACTAAATTGGCCGATACGGTCGCCAAATTTCTGTTAGCATGGTCTTATTGTAACAGACTTCCGTAAACTGGAGGTTCAAAACATGTTGGCCAATGATACTACTCAGTAATATGGTACTTAAGAATATGAAGCTCACTATTGATTCATGATAATATGAAAAGATGTCAGGATTCCCCTTGACAGTATTACCGCATACAAAATGCTAAGCAAAATAGTCACGAGGCATGTAACATAAACACAAGTAGTACACAACATTCCGTACAGCCATGAAACAAGTAAAGATGTGGTTCAATTCCTTTGGTGTAACGCTTCCAGAAAATGTCATCCTGAGGCACATTCTCCTAACTATTCGAGAAATCCACACTACAACTTATCACATCACAACATGAAGCTACTCAGAAATACGCAAAAGGCAACGAAATTAAACTCATGAGAGAAGGAGAGATAAAAGTTTTTTTTTGTACTTCTTAAAATAACATCGAACCCTTAAGACCCACTGCGCTTTTGCAACCATTTCGAACCACATCACTTACATGAATGCAAGACAGTCAAATGAAAACGCTCAACCTCAAGAGGCAACATAAATTTGCTACAGTTGACAGGAGTCAGAAACTTTATCTACTCTTCATCGGACAGCTCCGAGTACCCTATATGCTCTCATACTCCCCAGTGATCCACGTTTCTAGCCCACCACCAGAACCAACCCCTCACTAGCCTTGTAGACCTGAAACCCACCAATTGCAATAATCAACAAAATCATCACAACTAAAACCCACCTTTTCAAAAAACACATTAATTCACCACCTTTCCAAATTCCGCTCTCCGAGGCTCTTCCGCGGCACTATCGCACTATCTTCCATCAAGCCAAGGCTATCTCGGACCAAATCCCCTAATCCTCAACCACCTTCTTTCAACATGTATACCTTATACTACGGCAATATCGTTCACACGCCTAAACTCGGATCCATCGAGATTCTCTTGAATCACTATGTTGGGATCAATGCACAGGGTACCATTGAGTTTGTGAAGAAGGCTTCTTCCAAGGATGAGGCTCTTGAACTCGTCAAATCTGGTGGTAACGTCAAAGACGAGGAGGTGTCTTTTGTTGATAATTCCCATAAACTGGCCTCCTTCCTCATGCCTGGCTTTATTGACACGCACATTCACGCGTCCCAGTACCCTAACATCGGAATTGGATCTGATCTTCCTTTGCTTGACTGGCTTAACAACCACACATTTGCGCTTGAACTGAAGCTTGACGGTTCAGAGGAGGGGAAACGTTTAGCCAGGGATATCTACAATAAGGTTCTTGACAGGACCTTGTCGAACGGTACAACTTGTGCTTCCTACTTCACCACGGTCAACACGGAAACTACCGAGATATTTGCAGACTTGGCCGCCGAAAAGGGACAGAGGGCTTTTGTGGGAAAAGTTTGTATGGATTGCAATGACTCGTTTCCTTCGTACCAGGAAACGTTGGAGGAGACGGTTGCGAACATGAAGAGATTGGTTGATCATTGCCACAAGTTGGAGTCCAAGGGCGTGTACCGCTCCTTGGTTTGCCCGATCGTGACCCCACGTTTTGCTCCAGTGTGCCTGAGAGAACTTCTCACGGAATTGGGACAAATGGTGAAGCAGTACGACTTGCCTGTGCAATCGCACGTTTCCGAGAACAAGGACGAGATCTCGTGGGTCCAGTCATTATTCCCAGAATGCCCCAATTACACGTCTGTGTACGATAAATTCGGGCTTTTGAACGAGAGGACGATCTTGGCTCACGGAATCCATTTGACTGGTCCCGAGCTCGAGCTTATCAAATCCAAGAAGACATCGCTTGCACACTGTCCCAGCTCGAACACATTCATCACCAGTGGAGAAGCGCCCGTAAAGAAGTATCTTTACGAGGACGGCATCAACATCTCGTTGGGCACGGATCTCGCCGGCGGTTATGAGCAGTCTATTCTTGGGGTAGCCCGGGCCCTGGTTATGGTGTCTCACCACTTGGCAATGGATGCCGAAAAAGACTGCAAAATAGGTGTGGCCGAGGCACTCTACATGGCTACCGTGGGAGGCGCCAAAGCATGCAATTTGGGCAATGCTGTTGGTACTTTGGAGGCAGGCAAGAAGTTCGATGCTCAATTGATCGACCTCGACGTTCCCGGCACCAACGTGGACGTTTTCGATTTCCAGAGACCCGACAGCAACGACAAACCTGAGGCTGTGCAAGACAAGATCCTCAACCTCCTCTACAAGTGGGTGTTCGCTGGAGATGATCGCAACTGTGTGAGGGTTTGGTGCAATGGCCGTGTTGTGGTGGACAAACGCAAGAGCGTGTAGAGGTGACGTCAGGATAGATAGAGATAACAGATGGAAGCAGCCGTATGGATGGGGGCTTCCTGAACCGCGAGGCCTAAAGCAGAGATTGCATTAACGAGGTGCGGTCTGGCTGCAAAATAGCCGCTTTGCGAGGACAAGTCAGAGCTACAGGGTTCTTAGCGAAAAAAGGCCTACCGAGAAGAGAATTAGACTTTTAAAGTTTGGATCTTTAGCAAAGCTGGCTGGCTGTTTTTGGGGCAGTGTTGGCAGGGCTTCTGGTAATACGCAGAGGCTCATACGAGTACTCACATGATAGGCTTCAGCCATGGAGGCTTTTCGGGTCGCTTTTCAGCAACGCCATTGGCAGACGCAGCACATATGGAGGCAGTTCAGCACGGCAAAATCCGTGGGGTCTCCATCTCCAACGGCCCAGCATTGTGTTAAACTTTCTGTGGACAATGGGCCAAGCTGCGAAAGCGAAAGGTCAAGGCTGGTCCAAAGAAACGGCACGGCGAGCCAATAAGAGCCGAGAAATTTACGGCCAGGATTTCTAGTCCAAACATTCAGGCCTCTACCCCATCGATTCTTGTCTTCTCCGGCCCTCCCGGCAGCATTGTGCTTACTAGGGTGAGGCTCTGGGCAGCCTGAAAAGGGCAAATGCGATACCAGAGTGGGCGAGCGGGCCATGCGAGGTCTGCCTAAAACGTCCTTGCAGCGATTTAGCGGGCACTTACTGAAAGGCTGGGGTCAAGCCCAACTGATCTAGAGATTTTTATTGCCATAATGCCTTGTGCAAAAAAGTGTTCAAAAACTTGGAATTCTCCTTCGAACCCTTTTACCAAGGCTGTGGGTTCTCGGCGCCCTTCCGCACTGCCGCGGTGGTTCGTGTCTGTTTTCATCTCTCTGTGCGTCTTGAGACTAATTTTTTTCTGCTAGTTCGCGCTGCACTGTTTTCGTCCAAACTGGTGTTTCTGCCCCGTGATAAGCTATATACTCCAGCTTTTCTGGCTTCCTCCCCGGACTTACTTTCCAGCCAGCTTTCCCTAAACCTTATCCGCCTGTCTGTGAACAGGCCCCACATACAAAAAAAGAATAAAACCCCTGCACCAGGCCTTCTTCCATCCTTCACCTACCCTAGATCAACCCTACGTTTGTCCCCAGATTCACCATGAAGC